TTTTTTTTTTTTTTTTTTTGACTCCGATAATTAAAAGTTGCGCAGAGCAACGAAATTCCCGCAAGAATCGCGTGGAACTGAAGCGCCGCGTTTAAAAGTGCATCATCCTGAGAGGGTGTCACTATTTTTGTTCCGCCCATGTGGCAATTATCGTTATTCTTTTTTTACCAAAATAAAAGAATTACCACCACGCATTTTTACACTGCTTCAAATTGCACTCACAATAAATACCTCCAAAAAAATAATTTTTAAAAACACCTTTTGTCCACAAGATGAGTTCTTTTTCTTATTTATATATTTATATCAAGTATTTTTAAAATAAAACAAACATATTAAAAGTTAAACCACAACTGCGCTGTAGGCAGTGATTCTTTGACGTGCCACTAGGGGGAGCCCAACTTCTTTTAAAAAGTCGACCGTCTTTAACTTGCAGGCGCTTTTGGGAGTCTTCTTTCTTGCAGTGGCGTTAGACGCAGCCTATTTATACTGCGGGCCACTGAAAAGTGCTTCTCGGTCTGATCGATGTCCTCGATATTTCTCCACCCGCGCCTCTTGCCGTGGTGGTCCTGGCAGCGCTAACGCTGATAACTTGACCTCATTCTCGCCGCCGCGTCGGTCCTTTCATCAACTTCAGCCGACGGCCCCGTGGCGGACGGGCTCCAGAAACAAGACAGATGGTTGGGCCATTGGGCAACGCCTCTTCGGGCATGTCTAGCTCCGCCCTTTCAGGAAGCTAACACTTCAGAATGTTTGATTTTAGAAGCGCAAAAAAAAAAAAAAAAGTAGAAGAATTTTATTTTGGGAACACATTTAGCATCTGCTGCCTATCAGCATTCTCCTCAGTCACCTCGGGCAAAATTGAGATGAATTATTTGATTGGACCTCGCCTCGCCGCAAGCTGCTTCCTGTCATTGCTTGACGTTCCGCAGAGTCACGGCGGCTCTGACAGGAGTCTCCGGGTCGTTTATCTAATCACAATCACCGAGTCCCGGAACTGAGCACGTCGGGGAGGAGGGGGGGGGAATCACTCTTTCCACACCACCAAAGCCACGTAACGTCAGAGACATCAGATAATCGTTCCTGTGGCGACGTTGATCAGATGGTGGAAGAAACCGCTGAAATGATTGATTTTACTGTAGCGTCACCCCCTGAAATTCACAGCCGGGTAATTGTTTCCAAATATCCGAAACTTTTACGAAAGGGGGGCGCAAACAACCCACGAGACAACACGCAGGTCAAAGGGGGCAGATGGTCCGACGTCACCCTGTCGCCCCCGTGAACGTGGCCTTTCTCTGATCCGCCGCCTGTCTCTCAACTGTCGGAAACATCCGGCTTCCGAATGTTCCGCTGTCAAGGAGAAATTTCTTCGGGGAATCGTAATCCTGCTCCTAAACATTGTTTGGAAGCCTGTAAAGTAAAATGATGAGCAACGGGGATGCTTCATTGAGCATCAGGAATGTGGGCGACGGGCCACCTTCTGTTCAATTCACGCTTCAAAGCTTCCGTACTTCACATCCGAATCTCATTTTGTCATCTTTTAATTCTTGCAAAAAGCTCACTTGTGTGTCTTTTCCGGGTCCGCAGTCTCACCTGGTGGCCGCATTTGAGAAAAGCCTGAGTAACATGACGTGTCGCCTGCAGAGTCTCACCATGACGGCCGAGCAGAAGGTGCGTGGGCGTTTGCTTTCCGCGCCGAGTGGAGGAGTCCACGACTACTCCCTTCTAATTAAGATGAACCAAAACTGCCGAGGTGCTTTTCATCGTGCTTCCTGGTTCCATTGTCAGGAGACCGAGTTGGTCGAGCTGAGGGAAACAATCGAGTCACTGAAGACCCAGAACACCGACGCGCAGACGGCCATACAGGTGGCACTAAATGGCCCGGATCACTTCCATAAAGGTAATCATGACTATTTTGCTTTTAGCTAAAACACCAGGATGGGTCTTAACGGTATCAGGAAACTCAGGAACTGGTTGTGAGCTTTAAGGGCACCCCCAAAAGCAATAACGTATAAATATTATTTTATTAAAGCTTTTTTACCTAGATTTGAGACCTGTTTACCGTATTTTTCGCACTATAAGGTGCTTCGGAGTATAAGGCGCACCTTCAACGAATGGCCTATTTTAAAACTGTTTTCATAGATAGGGCGCACCGCCTTATAAGGTGCATAGAATAGAAGAAACAATAGTGGCTGCAGTTGCGTTTGGCTTCCACTAGATGGAGCTACGCTAAAGGGAATACAAAACAACACAGCTTTATTTATATAGGGCTGTAGCTGTAACAAAGCGCTTGACACAACATTTAAAATACGACGTCCAACAAATCCGAATATTAATCCATATATAAGGCGCATCGGATTATCAGGCGCACTGTCGGCTTTTGAGAAATTTGAATGCTTCTCTGTGCGCCTTATAGTGCGGAAAATACGGTATTTATAGTTTGTTTGTTTTTTTTAACCATTTTTGGCACCTGCAAGCCATATAAAAAGTCTTACATGAAACAATGCGTGGAGGTGGAAGTTTCAAATGTCTTCGATGAGATTGTGGCGGACATCATAAATAAGAGTCTTAACAGGATAAGGGGACCCCAAACTCACATTTTGGAGGCATACCATACCAATAAGAATTTCTGTGCTTTTTTTCCCCAGACCTCCGTATCAGACGGCAGCACTCATCCGAAAGCATGTCGAGCATCAACAGCGCGGCCAGCCACTCCAGCATGGGCAGCATGGGCAAGGATGCCGAGGACAAGAACAAGAAGAAGAAGAAGAACTGGGTTGGTGGAACAAACGCGCGCACGTAATCATCATATCGCGGTTGCTAGGTGACAGTTATTATCAACGGGGGTCAGCTGACCCGCAATTAACTGTTTGAGGACCACTCTGGATTTCATATGAACACGGGCATGCTGATGAGACTGCAAAATGGTCAGCAAAGGGCTACGAATGCTCGTATTTTTATTTATTTATATTTTAAACATCCCAATCGAGTGTTGATAAGTGCCCATTGACTCCCTGGGGCGAGTTGAGAAGTCGAAGCCGAAGTGCCAAACACTTTGTGGAAGTGCTTTTTCGAAGGCTCTTAATCCCATGCATGAACCCAAAGGAAGGCTGAAAGCCCCCCCCCCCACCCCCTCCCCGATACGGACTTATTCTTTTAAAGCACAACTCCCATGTGGACCTTTAACTTCTTTTGTCACCTCTGTGGTGGCTGTTTTTTTTTTTTTTTTCTTACTCAGCCAAAGCCACTTTGCAGTCTCTGCAGTTGCTAAATTGGGCTCATTAGTACAAAATGCATAATTAGCGCCTAATTAAAACTGCAATGAATGATTCATTTGTACAAATACTGCCGCGACGCACTGTCGAAGCCGGAAAATGCAAAAGGAGTCGATGGCCTCGTCTGACCCGCGAGAGACAATTAGGTTGACAATTCCAATTCCAAGTATACCGAGACAGTAATTCTCTACCACGTGGTCACGAGAGGTGAAATTATCCAGTTGCATTTAATTGGCCTGGAAATGATCAACTTACTGCCCCCCCCCCCCCAAAAAAGAAAAAAAAATTGTCTTTGTTAACTCATTCACTCCCAAAGTCGTTTTTAGACGTCTTTTCAGATTTGGCCTAGAATTGGATGGTACTGGTGACATGTCGAAAAATTAAATGCTCTAATCAATTTAATGATGTGATCATTCCCGTATTTCGGCATATTTTTGCTTTTTGTGACATTTTCCTTCGGTGTGGTGTGTTGTGTTATTTTTCTCGACGTCTGCAACGTACGCTGGGTCTCAACAAGCTCAATTCTGCCTCTTCTCAATCGACTTCAAACCTCTGCCAAGGGGGTCTGCCGTCCCATCCTGGGCGCACCTCCACAAATATACGCCTGCCGTATCAAGTCTGACTTGTGTTGACAACTCCAGTTCAGTTTTTTTCCCTAACGCGAGCTGGCGTGTATGCATGTGTGTGTGTGTGTCTGTGTCTCTGCGTATGTGTGCGTTCTGCATCTTCAGGTGGCTGATTCCATCCCAGCTCAGGTCAGTTGTGTCCTTTGAACGTGTGCCCTTTTTTGCCCTCTAAAAGTAGCCTGTCTTCTATCTTTTCTGGAAACATCAGCATGGATACAGCTGCCCCCGTCATTGCCTGTTCATTTTTAGAAAGCAAAATAAAAAAATAATGATAATAAAAAAAAAAGCTGAGTCACCTCTCCCGCCCTCATTTCATTCTCTACTTACAGCCTTGACATTTGCCTTCCTCTTACCTCCTCCACCAGCAGTGAGCATTGCTTGGAAAAACAGCACGGCGTTACCCTCCTGATCTCCGATCGAAATTCTCACCGAGGAGGTCGTTTGCATCAGTGACACTGACCCCCGTTTTTTTTTTCTTCCCCACCCCCCCCTCCATTTTGTGTCACGCAGCTCCGCAGCTCGTTCAAGCACGCCTTCAGCAAGAAGAAGACCAAGTCGCAGTCGGCCCACGACGAGGCGGAGGAGATGAGCGACTCGCTGCCGTCCTCCCCCAAGCTGCAGCACGACAACCGGCAGGGCAGCGTGGCCACGCTGCGCTCGTCGCCCTCCGCCACCGAGTGAGCTTCCACGCGCATCCTCACCCGTTTGCCTCCACGATCCATTGAGATCCAAAACAAGACCCAGGCATCAAAACGAATCTTTTTTTGAGAAGCTAGCGAGGTGGCGCTGGATTGGCTAAATGCAAGTTGACTGCGTTTATGTAACATGGGTTCGTGATTGCGTACATGCTTGATGTCGGTTTTGCCGCTAAATGCTTTGCTGCCATCTTGTGGTGGATATGTGCAAATACAGTGCTTTCTGCTTTATTTTTATTTATTTTTTCTTCATTTGTCACTCTCCTTATTTAGTTTTTTCTCCAAATGCTCATTATTATTTCGCCTCTTTTATTTCTCCTCCACCTTCACCTTTCCACATCCTTTTTTTTTTTTTAACACCCCTGCTCCCTTCCACGCCGCGCTTAGCAAGTGCCTATGCGATAGCGAGTCCTCCTCCATTTGGACGCCAAAGAAAAAGCTAAACGGTCACGTGGTCTACAAGCACCGATCCCGGTAACTGGCTGGGAAGTTGCGTGTGTATGTGTGTGTGTGTGTGTGTGTCTGTGTTTTTTTTTTGCACTGCCTCGAAGTCTTTCAGAAAGTAGAACCAGGTTGCAGTCACTGCAAACAAAGATCGGTTTGAAGCATGTCGTGTGTGCGGAGCACCTCGGTTGCATCTTGTGAGAAGACCGTGCGGTGTGTTTGAGAACAATAACAAAATGTCGTGCCAATCAATATGGTTGTTCATCTCACCAGCTCCTTACTGCAGTTTGCATGTCATAGTTTTCGCACAATTAGTGCCAAATAATGACGCGAGGCACTCGCCGTTGCAAGTTTTCACCGGTAGCTCCCACATCCCTTAGTTCCTTTCAAGCCTTCATTGTGTACCACCCCACCCCCCAAATGACACCCTCCTCTTTCCTCCTACCCTCTCCCCTCCCCGGAAGGCTGTGTGAATGCACCGAAGCCGAGGCCGAGATCATCCTGCAGCTCAAGAACGAGCTGAGGGAGAAAGAGCTCAAGCTGACCGACATCCGGCTGGAGGCGCTGAGTTCGGCCCACCACCTGGACCAGATCAGGGAAGCCATGAATCGCATGCAGGTGAGGTATCGTGAAACGTACTCCCAGCTCGGTGGTTCTCCAATTGCACCTCACTACTTCATCAAAAACAAACCACTCTTCAAGACTAAATGGAATTTCAAAATTAAATGCTACTGAACTGGATGGACTCCGGCAGTGATTCTTTTGCCTGCCACTAGAGGGAGTCTGTGCGCCACACTGAGAATTGTTCCCATGAGAAGCACAGGCTCAATGATTGTGTTGTACGCTTCGCCTAAGTGTCTCCAGAAGCCTCCGATCGTCTCCCTTGTGATCTGGGGAATCACGTCAGGCTTCTTATCGACGACTTAAGCGTCACCACAAAAGGGAGCCTTGATGTTCAAAAAGGCGCTTAGAGCCAGTAATTCCGAGACAGCGATTTAAGGCTCACGTACAGCCGGCAAGCTGGCACGCCGCAAAGTAGTCACTTTTCATTTGCTCTTTTGAAGAATAAAAACTGAGTGGCTGTGAATGATTGATTGTGTCAGATTTGCTCCCCGCCACATCCAGACTGCGAATTTTCCAAAACATGCCCCCCTTGTCTCCCTCAATGAGCAGAATGAGATCGAGACGTTAAAAGCGGAAAACGACCGGCTCAAGTCCAGCGGCAGCGCCACGCCGACGGCCACTCCCGCCAAGACGGCCCGGCCGCCCTCTGAGACCTCCAGCACGTCCTCGTCCTCCTCGCGTCAGTCCCTGGGCCTCTCCCTCAACAACCTCAACATCACCGACACCATCATGTCAGGTCAGTTGAGCATCAGCCGGCGCGGAAGCGTCAGGCCCGATCAACTTTGACACCCTGACATTTGTTCCGAGGTGTGAGAACACACAAAAAAAGTCACTTTACGTTGACCTTTTTGTCCAAAGAAACCAGAACACGTTCGCCCAGCAGAGTCTTCAAATGCCAATTGGAACAGATTTTGTGGATTAAAAGCTATTTTTCTTGACATTTACCACGCGCTTTACCTCCCTTTTGAGAAGTCGGCGAGTTGCTTCCTCTCGCGAGCAGACCGTAATTAAAATAAGCAAAGCTCTCCTCCGAGCAGCAGCCTCGTTATTTGATGGCCAGATGAGCGAGAGCAGTGAGGCGTTAGAGTAAAAGTGGCCCCGGCACGGAGCCCTGTGGTGTCGTCGATGCCAAATGAATACTAAGTAACGCTGTCCAAAGTGAAGAACACAAAACATTTACATCACAAGGAAAATAAGTCACATTCAGTGTGCTGCATTTGTAACTTGAAAACGATTTCTGAACCACACGGAGACTCTAACAGCACGCTAACTCATGTCGTCATTGGCCTTTAGATATTCTGCTCGACGACAGCTACGAGGGTAACCTGCGCAAAGAAGGCCGCAGCGTGCGGATCGTGGTCAGCATCAGCAGCGGGCCGAGCACGACCAAGGTTAGCGGTTGACCGTCATAATCTCCCCGTTAGCGCGCTTTACGTTCCAGATGCTTTTAGCTCCCTGCGTCTATGTCATCAACAGGGAACGCAAATGCAGGAGTACCTGATTGGCTCCATCGGCGTGAGTGGGAAAACCAAGTGGGACGTCCTGGATGGGGTGATCAGACGCCTCTTCAAGGTAAACTGGAAGCAGATGACACAATGGTCCTTGGGGCCAGTATTTGGTTACGTTTGTGTGTCGTCGATGACGTTAAAACCTTGAGACGGGTTGCTTTGTGACTCCCGTTGCTCCCTGGCACGCTGCAGGAGTACGTATTTCGGGTGGACCCGGTGACCAGTCTGGGCCTTAGCTCGGATAGCATCGTCTGCTACAGGATGGGCGAGGTGGTCCGCGCCCACTCCTCCGAAGTGCCTGAGCTGCTGCCCTGCGGCTACCTGGTGGGCGAAAGCAACGTCATCAAGGTCAACCTCAAAGGTATGAACGGCCCAAGCCAATCGCTTGAGGTGCGACATTGACGCCTCCCCACCCGCGGCCCCCGGCAGGCGTCAAGGACAGCAGCATCGACAGCCTGGTGTTCGACACCCTCATCCCGAAGCCCATCATCCAGCGGTACCTCAACCTGCTGATGGAGCACCGTCGCATCATCCTCTCGGGCCCCAGCGGCACCGGAAAGTCCTTCCTGGCCGCCAAGCTGGCCGAGTTCATCATTTCCCAGATGGGCCAGGAGGTGACCGAGCACAATGTGGCCAGCTTCAACGTGGACCAGAATTCCAGCAAGGTACACGCGCTAGTCGAAGACAACAAGCATGCAAGCACATTTTTCTTACTGAAGAAAATTAAAGGACAGATGAAAAAAAGGAGGCTGGAACGGATTAAAGGCATTTCCATTCATTCCAATGAGGAAAGTTTGTTTGGGATAGTTCGACAAATATGGTCCCACATTCTTCCGCTTTTCCTCTTCTAGGACCTGCGTCAGTATCTGTCCAACCTCGCGGAGCGCTGTAATTCCGAGGGCACAGACACCAAGCTCCCCACTGTGGTCATTCTGGACAACCTCCACCATATTAGTTCCCTCAGCGACATCTTCAACGGCTTCCTCAACTGCAAGTACCACAAATGGTAAGGTTGTCGGATACTTATTAAGGGGATGGGAGTTTGTGCCAGCTTCAACGTGGACCAGAATTCCAGCAAGGTACACGCGCTAGTTGAAGACAACAAGCATGCAAGCACATTTTTCTTACTGAAGAAAATTAAAGGACAGATGAAAAAAAGGAGGCTGGAACGGATTAAAGGCATTTCCATTCATTCCAATGAGGAAAGTTTGTTTGGGATAGTTCGACAAATATGGTCCCACATTCTTCCGCTTTTCCTCTTCTAGGACCTGCGTCAGTATCTGTCCAACCTCGCGGAGCGCTGTAATTCCGAGGGCACAGACACCAAGCTCCCCACTGTGGTCATTCTGGACAACCTCCACCATATTAGTTCCCTCAGCGACATCTTCAACGGCTTCCTCAACTGCAAGTACCACAAATGGTAAGGTTGTCGGATACTTATTAAGGGGATGGGAGTTTGTTTTTTTTTTTTTGTGTCATGGCCCATAAAGTTTTGTCCATCTATGCAAACAACATTGCACTACTCACCAAAAAAAATTGCGATATTTGGCTTTCAGGTGAAATTTCAGGACGAGACCTAAAATGCATAAAAACCTTTACAGGTGAACCTAATGTGATCTTTTCTCAGCTTTTGAATGTACGTGACAAACTGATTGGTCAGCCAATTTAATTTCATGAGAGCTTTGGTTCGTGATGTGCCATGAAAATGTTTCCAATGTAAAATAGACTTGGATTTGAGAACGATGCCTCATGACCTTGTTGTCCGCTTTAGCCCTTACGTCATCGGGACCATGAACCAGGGAGTGTCCTCCTCCCCCAACCTCGAGCTGCATCACAACTTCAGGTTTGTCGCCACCGTTGAACTCTCACACCTCTCTGTGTCTGACATCTCCCATATTTGACCGTACTGTGTCAATTCGGAAATAAGCTTGACGAGAGTTTATCTGCGTCATTAGAGCGCCTTTTTAATGAGCGGATCTTCTCTCCCCGCGTCCTCCGCTCACAGGTGGGTGTTGTGCACCAACCACACAGAGCCCGTCAAGGGCTTCCTGGGCCGCTTCCTGCGACGGAAGCTGATTGAAACGGAGATCCATAAAAACGTGCGCAGCAACGACCTCATTAAGATCATCGACTGGATTCCCAAGACGTGGCAGCACCTCAATGGCTTCCTGGAGGCCCACAGCTCCTCCGATGTCACGATAGGTCAGCCGCACACACACATAAGCGCATTTAGTGCACAACAGATGGGTTTCAAAACGATTTCAAATCAAATCCGCTCGATTTGGTCCCCCATAGGCCCCCGTCTCTTCCTGTCCTGTCCCATGGATAAGGAGGGGTCGCGCGTGTGGTTCACCGACCTCTGGAACTACTCCCTGGTGCCCTACCTGCTGGAAGCTGTCCGAGAAGGACTCCAGGTGAGCAATTATTTTGTCGACCCCCTCCTCGCTCGAGAGGTTTGCGTGTCCCATTGATTCTCGGGACTCGGGGGTCTGGGGATTTATGTCCCAGGCGGGGTCACCCATGGCAAACAGGTCCTGGGTGAGGGACCAGACAAAGTATGACTCACAGACCATTTATGATGAACACCAAAATTGGGCAGCGTTTTCCCTCGCCCGGGTGTGGATCACCGGGACCCCCCATCTGGAGGTGCGGGTGACCTGGTCTTCACCCATGGGGCCCAGCTAGACTCAGCCCGAAGAAGCAACGTGACTCCCTCCTCCTGTTGGGGTCATCACATGTGGGAGGGGCCAAAGAGCTCTGGGTGCTTTGGGATGGATGGATGATTTTTGTCGATTGACCGATGAATCGATTGCCTCGCAGCTGTACGGCAAGAGGGCTGCGTGGGAAGACCCGTCCAAGTGGGTGAGCGACACGTACCCGTGGCAAGCCGCTGCCCCCGTGCAGCCGCAGCAACAGCAGCAGCAGCAGCAGGACGGCCAGTCGTTGCTGCAGCTCAGGCCCGAAGACGTGGGCTACGACGGCTACAGCTCGTCCAAGGAGGGGGCCTCGTCCAAGCAGGTGTCCCAGAGCGACACCGAGGGAGACCCCCTGGTAGGAGACGCTCGGGCACTTTTCGCCACGTTCTCCCGACTCAGTAATCAACTCCCATTTTTTTCTGTGCGCCTTCCCGAAGATGAACATGCTGCTGAGGCTGCAGGAGGCGGCCAACTACTCCAGTGCGCAGAGCTGCGACAGCGACAGCGCCAGTCACCATGACGACCACCTGGACTCCTCGCTGGAGTCGGCGCTCTGAAGCTCCCTCCGCCAGGCCCGCTTGACACGCCTACAGTGCAAATACATGACAGGTTTTGTGGTTTGGATCAAAATCATCGGTGATATCAAATGAAATTGCGTTCATGGTTCTTACCCCCGTCGAGTCATAATTTAAACCAGTGGCTCGCAAACGTTTTGACATCAAGTACCACCTCATAAACTACTCGGCTCTGCAAGTAACCACCGTCATGACCAACATTTTTATTTTTTTCCTTGAAACAAATTCCTATTTACGGGGCTTTTGGCGCCATCTTGTGGCATCCCAGGGCCTTTATTTCAATGGCGAGCCCAATTGAAGTCATCTTTTGTTACTTTCCTCCATTTTTAGGATGCAACTTCTCGTCTGATTGCACAAAGTGTTTTGTCGGAATTCAAATGCTCGGCTCACCCTCAGTCTTGTACTTCATCTTTGCAACTGGAAGATTTTTCTCTGTGTTTACAACCCGAGTAAGGAGGTGGCCAGGTACTCTTGTCGATGTATTTCTTTGTTTACAAAGGTGCTTTTCTCACAGGCATTGGTCCAAATAACCTTCCAAAAGGTCGCGCGCTCTTCCACCTCGGTGGCTCCTGAAGTCAATTTCGTCCAAATTCTCCCGCTTTTTAAGATGTTTCCGGTGCGCTTCTGTGGCAGGTGGGGCTCTTAACGTGAGTATTTATCGGCCCGTCACCTCGGTGCCCTCGCATGTCAATGACCAATCTGCCACATGATGCTACTGTGCCGAAAATACGTGCCAAGTGACGCACACAGCTCGATTTCCTCACTTTGTGACCGGTGCGGATCAGTCGACGAAATACGATGCAGTCAGATAAAACACCTTCACTAGGGAACAATGATATTGGTGCTTTCTCGTTGCCTTAAGTGTGCAAAAAGATTTTTTTTGGAGGGGCGATGGGGGAGGGTCTCCTCCTGCTTCCAATGACTTTATAACGACAAGAGATTCATATGGATGCTTAACTATGGATGCTTCCTGTTTTCCTTTCGAACACGTTTAAAGTGCAAAATCAAAGAGTTCATGTTGTATGTGAATTCTAAACTGACCATTATCTATATATAAGTATATAAGATTTAAAGTTGTTTGTTTTTTTTTTTTTCTTCTCCACCCAGTTGAGCTGGGCTCACTTGAACTGACAGGAGCACAACCAAATGTTTGTTTGTTTGTCCCCCTTCTTTTTTTAAGCATGCTTTTTAACAGGGGGGGTCATTGAGAAAGAGATATTTACCTTTATGTACACACAAGTATTGGACGGAAGCCATTTTTGATTGTCCTTTTAAATGCGTGGGTTGGTTTTTGCACACTCGGGCGGGTTGTAAATACTTCAGTCACCTTGCACAGGAAATCAAAGATGCATTCGCCCAGTTGATATTACACGAACCTGCAGAAAGAAGAAAAAAAGTAAATTATTGTTTAAAAAAAAAAAGGTGTGCGTCTTGTGATGTGTGTCAGTGCAGGAGGCACACGTTGTGTAGATAGAAAAGTGTTCTCACTACAAATCACAAAAGCTGCACTTTTCCAGTCGGCGGCTCCCATTGTTGCCGTGAAATCTTTTGAGTTGTGTCATTCGCATTTGGCCAGGCTGCCGAGGCGCCGCAGCTCACTCCACACCGTACTGTACAGAAAACACCGCAGGTGCTACCGGTCAGCCAACGCCCACCCGAAATTAACACAGCCTCAGGACAATGCCACCGTCTTGTCTACAATGCTACCTGTCGTCAGCTTTTCGCGCCTCCGCAGCCCGGCCTTCCCGTTTCCAAACTCGCTGACCCCAGCGTACGCCATCTAATTCGGAGATGTGTCAGTCCAAGCCCATAGCATTTAGTCTCGTTTTGAGATGCAAACATTCTTTTCTTCTTTTCGGGTGAAACATTTGTCTTTGAATGTTTTATATTTTGTACATTTGTATGTAACATATCATGTAAATAGACAGAGACAGTGATTTAACTCATCTGGAGGATTTTGTAGTCTTTGTAAAAGCTCTAAAAAAATAATAATAATAAATGGTATTTGGTGTCACAAGCAAATTATGGTTGTCATTTTTTTTTTAATGCCATTCTGCTGGGTGGACTTGGGAAAATGATAGTCGCTTGTGTTTTAGGAGTAATTAAAAACTTCAAATACTTCAGATGTATTGATATTCTTGTTATGAAAGTTAATGTCCTAAACATCTTAATAAATACATCGCACTTTCAAAAATCAAATTACGTTAAATAAATGCGTAACTAAATAAGACAATCGACTTGTGCATTTAGATATATAAGTGAGTCGTTATTCCTATTTACAAGCAAGAGTTTCCCTGCGGAGTTTTGAAATTGCGGAACCAAAGTTCAAGGAAGTTCCTGGATGCAAATGCCCGGATGTAAGACTTGCACTTCCGGAATAGCGCAGTGGGGTGCATCCACCTTTGAACTCGTGTGGAGGTGAGAACGATTTGAATGTTTGGTCAGACGCAGCACCGCTAAAATCCTGATTGCCCCCCCCCATCGATGAAGGTCCACTTTCCGAGATTCGCCGCCGCCCTCCTGCAACTTTGCAAGCGAGATTCTCAGAACTTCATGATGCTCCGACTGGCCGGGTACGTACGCAACACTTGTTTACATTCGACGCACTCGAAAGTGCTCAGTCCTTAACAGTCGAGTTGGTGCTTTATAAAAGACGAGTGTCAAGTGAAGTTTAAAGTTAGGGGGAAAAAAAAACTACTTTTGAAAGAAGAAACTCAAAAGTGAACATGCGGTGTCGCACTTCCGGCTTCCGCATTTACGTCACTGGGAATGTGACGTTCCAGACTTAGTGGAAATTGTCGAAAATAACTCGAGCGGTCGAGACCACTTGTGGTGGAAGTAAACAAAAACACAGCTTGCGATTTCGACCAGCAGTTTCGAATTCGAGGCATATAACTAAGTGATTAAAGCTGGTGAGTGTGCCAACGATTACAGTGGGGTTTTTTTTGTGTTTTGGAACGTACCACGATAAATAGTTCTTTATTAATCGTCGAACTATGAAGGACGGTCATATTTTTTGTATAATTCATCGATGTACTACTCTTTCCAACCAGACGTAATTGGTATGTAGCAATCGGTATGAACGGTAAATATTCGTGGGCAATTTTTTCAAAAGATCCATTGCGATTAGTGGAGCTTTGGCTCCTTCTTGTGGTCACTTACGTCAACAGGCCAATTTTCACTCCCCTGTGATTGAGTGGAGTGGAGGGGGGAAACGCATAAATAAATACAATATATATTGATCAGTTTATGTTTCTGACACGGATCATATCGTAAACTGTAAGGATCTGTTTATGTGTATATGTCTAGATATAGATGTAGAAATATAGATATGTATAAAAGCGAGAATGCTAAAAAAGGTGTTTTTAGCCCCAAACAAACAACCACGTATAGTAAGGTGTTTTTGGCCGGAAAAAACCACCATGTATACGAAGGCGTTTTTGGCCGGAAAAACCCACCATGTATAATGAGGCGTTTTTGGCCGAAAAAACGACCATGTATAGTAAGGCGTTTTTAGCCGAAAAAAAACGACCAGGTATAGCAAGGCGTTTTTGGCCAAAAAAAACAACCATGTATCGTAAGGTGTTATTGGCCGGAAAAAAAATTATCATGTATAGTAAGGCTTTTTAGGCCGAAAAAGCGACCATGTTTGGTCAGGCACTTTGAGCTGAAAAAATAAAAACGACCATGAATAGGAAGGCGTTTTTGGCCCCAAAAAACGACCATGTATAGTAAGGCGTTTTTGGTCGAAAAAAACGACCATGTATAGGAAGGCGTTTTTAGCCCCAAAAATCGATCATGTATAGTAAGGCGTTTTTGGCCGAAAAAAACGACCATGTATAATAAGGCGTTTTTGGCCGAAAAAAATGACCAATGTATAGGAAGGCGTTTTTAGCTGAAAAAAAACGACCATGTATTGTAAGGTGTTTTTAGCTGAAAAAAACGACCTTGTATAGTAAGGCGTTTTTAGCCCCAAAAATCGATCATGTATAGTAAGGCGTTTTTGGCCGAAAAAAACGACCATGTATAGTCAGGCGTTTTTAGCCGAAAAAATGACCATGTATAATAAGGCGTTTTAGCCCCCCCAAAAAACGACTCTATAGTAAGGCGTTTTTGGCCCAAAAATACGACCATGTAAGTCATAGTAAGGCATTTTTAGCTGAAAAAAACAACCATGAATAGTAAAGCGTTTTTGGCCCAAAAAAAATGACCATGTATAGTCAGGCGTTTTTAGCCGAAAAAATGACCATGTATAATAAGGCGTTTTAGCCCCCCCAAAAAAACGACTCTTATAGTAAGGCGTTTTTAGCCGAAAAAAACGACCATGTATAGTAAAACGTTTTTGGCCGAAAAAACGACCATGTATAGTCAGGCGTTTTTAGCCGAAAAAATGACCATGTATAGTAAGGCGTTTTTGGCATGAAAAAAATGACATAGTATAGTAAGGCGTTTTTAGCCGAACCAGGTGAACTGACAGCCTCAGCCAGTCCTGGTTCCACCGTCTCAGACCCACCACCTGGGGGCCGGAAAGGTACACAAGGTTTTCTTTCATCGTGGTGGCCCAGGTCTTGACTTGTCCACCACGCCGCTTGCGCCAGGCTGGCAAAGGAGCAGGAAGGAGAACATCCCTGATCAACTCGCCCTCCTGGTGGCGTGCCGCATGCCCGAACCAGCGGAGTCAGCGTTGCAGAAGTAACGCTGGTAAGGGACGAAGGTGCAGGCAGCGACGAAGGTCAGCAGTGGGGACCTGGTCCAATCGGCGGCGGCGGAGAATACGGCTTGCGCTCGTCAGCCACTCTCATAGGCCAGGTCTCACCAAGGCGTATTTAGCACGAAAAAAACGACACAGTATAGTAAGGCGTTTTTAGCCGAAAAAAACGACCCATTATCGGAAGGCGTTTTTAGCACGAAAAAAACGACACAGGATAGTAAGGCGTTTTTAGCCGAAAAAAACGACCCATTATCGGAAGGCGTTTTTAGCACGAAAAAAACGACACAGGATAGTAAGGCGTTTTTAGCCCCCAAAAAACGACATAGTATAGTCAGGCGTTTTTGGCACGAAAAAAACGACACATTATCGTAAGGCGTTTTTAAGCACGAAAAAAACGACATAGTATAGTCAGGCGTTTTTGTCACGAAAAAAACGACACATTATCGGAAGGCGTTTTTAGCACGAAAAAAACGACATAGTATAGTAAGGCGTTTTTAGCACGAAAAAAATGACATAGTATAGTCAGGCGTATTTAGCAGGAAAAAAATGACATAGTATAGTCAGGCGTATTTAGCACGAAAAAAAATGACATAGTATCGTAAGGCGTTTTTGGCACGAAAAAAACGACATAGTATAGTAAGGCGTTTTTAGCCGAAAAAAACGACATAGTATAGTAAGGCGTTTTTAGCACGAAAAA